TCTTTTATATCTCAAAAGAGATTGCTTTAAGGCATTGTGATTGTTTGTTCTGGCTCATAGCAACCATGTATAGGGTTTTTTAGGACAGGCTGGTGGGTTTGAACCACCAACCTCACTGTTAGCAGCCCAGTGCTTGTCCTACAATGTCACACCAGGACTCTGACTTAAGACAGAATTGCTCTGAGTCAGAATGGACTCAGTGGCACTAAACAACAATGCTGCACCATTAACGTAACAAAGAAAACCCATTCCCAAATGGGATTATCATCACAGGCATAGAGGTTAGTATTTGCAACATATATATTTTTAGGGCCACAATTCAATCCATAATAGTGACATAATTCCAATGACTGCGGTTTTCTTCAAAGATGCCCATCAGTTTTTTTCTTGTATGATAGTTATCAAATGCAGACTTCCTAGGCTGATATTTTCCAAGTATTACATATCTTGGAAACCAAAGAAATAACTATCCTAGCAGTTGGGAGAGGGAGCCATATAATTAAATAATCATGAGGATACCAACATGATTGATGACAATAAATGCAACTTTGAATATAGCTTTATGTCTCAGTTTACAAACATTTGTAGATTACAAGTTTACTTCAGAGGTTGCATTATTCTTGAGGATTCAGACTGCTGTATCATATGTTCTTCATTTCCTACAATGCCCAACACAATGTTGTACACACTTGTTGTTAAGTAGGTTCTAATCCATAGTGACTCTGTATAGGGTTTCTGAAGAGTGACTGGTGAGTTTGAACTGCTGACCTTATGGTTCAAACTGACATTGTGGTTGAATGCGTATCTACAGTGCCTCACTAAGACTCTATAAATCATTGTGGAGTGCACCAAAACACAAATGAATGCTATTATTTAAAACGTCAAAGGAGATTCTGCCAGTTTATATCAGATCATTAAATTCAATTCAACTATGTAAAGAAAAGTCTTTTGTATGATTTTGAATTTTGTTTTACATTTTTCTTCCATTGTATGTTGTTCTGCATACAACTACTTGTTGTATGCTGCTGCTCATTCTACTCATTAATACACTTAACTCCATTGTGTCTGCAATCTTCACAGGCTGTCATAGCTGCGATAGCCTGTCCTTCAAGCCGCTCATTATTCTGTTTGTTAATCAAGAGTAGCTTTCTAAAGCTAAATAAATGATGCTACATTGTGGGGACTGCAATCAAGGACATAAAGCAAAAGGTATATGAATTGTTGATTAGAAAACTGATCTGCTTTGGAAACCTTCACCCAATTTACAATGCTGTTGTTGTTGTTGTTGTTAAGTGCCATCAAGTCTAGTCAGTTCTGACTTATAGTGACCCTGTATAGAATTTCCAAGGCTTTTACATTTTGTGGGAAAAGAAAGCTTCATTTTACTTTGATTGAGTGGCTGGTGGGCTTGAACCACTGACCTTGTGGTTTGCAATCCAAGGCTTATCCTACAGAGTCACATGCTCTCTTTAAAATTGATAGAGAGTAACAATTTGTCTTTTAATATTAGATCTGTCCCAAATTATCTAACCCCCCAATTTAAGCAAGACTTTTTTGTTTTAAGTAAAGATTAGAACTCTAAAGAGAGGAAGAACTACAACAAAAGACAAGAAAAGTAGTTGCTAAGGCTGCTATGTACAAATAAACATCTCATTGGATTCGGTTCCTTGGTTTGGAGGTTTAGGGTCATAGTTTCATGGGACATTCCAGTTAACTGGCTTAATAACTTGTTTAGTGCTTCTGTTCAACTTTCTAGTCCACTGTAATGTGCTGTAAAAACTTGAAAGCATCCATCCAAGGTATAGCAATTGGTCTCAATCTACTTGGAACAACAAAGATGGAAGGATAGATAGGAAAAGGAGGATACCGAAGGTGTGGCTAATTGCCTCTGTTAACAATTGACTCCTTGCCATGAGACTAGAACTGGATGGTGCCTAGCTACCATCTCAAACATTTTGATCAATGATTCTATAAAGAATACTGAGCAAAACAGAATTTCAAATTCTCGTAGACTCCAGACTATCTGGAGCCATGGTACTTCATGAACCCCTGAAACTGTTGCCCTGTGAGAATCTTTAAAACTTAAACCAAGAGTCCTGGTGTGGCACTGTGGGTTAATGTGCTGGACTGCAAAGTTGGTTTGATCCATAAGGTTGGTGCTTCAAGCTCACCAGCTGATCCTCAGAAATCGCTATGGGTCAGAACTGACTTGATGGCACTTAACAACAACAATACAGGATTTAGGAGTCCTGGTGTGGCACCATAGGATAAGTACCAGCCTGCTAACCTCAAGTTCGGTGGTTCAAACCCACCAGGTTTGAAAACATGAAACCATGACCATGCTCCTGTTTTTGTTTATTGTTTAGTGCCGTTGAGTCATTTCTGACTCATAACAACCCTGGATAGGGTTTCTGAGGAGTGACTGATGAGCTTGAACTGCTGACCTTGTAGTCCAGCACATTAACCCACAGCGCCACACCTATACAGGGTCGCTATGAGTTGAAACTAACTCAACAGCACTTAACAACAACAACAAAAAATACAGGCTCTAAATGGACTCCTGATGTGGTGCTGTAGAATCAGCACTGGATTGCTAACCACAAGACCAGCAATACAAATCTACCAACAACTCCTTGGAAACTCTATACAGCGTGGCTATGATTGGGAGCAGGCTCAATGGCACTTGACAACAACTGACAATAAGAAATTGAAAAATGAAATAGGAATCTTACAGGATAATGAGTTTATGTTAATGGGTTAGGCACATCTAAGAAGAAGATGAGAATGGTTGTACAACTTGAAGAATGTAATCAATGTCACTGAATTGTATAGGCAGAAACTCTTACATGGCTATATGTTTTGCAGCGTATGTTTCTCAACAACAAGGAAAAAAAACACAAAACTTTTTTAAAAGAAGATGACAACTGAAAACAAATGGACACTAAATTTACTATGATTGTTATACCTTCCTAATGAAGAGAAGGACTAATATAATTACTTATTGGGGAATCAAAGAAGATAAAAATATTACTCTTTTCCTAAAGATTTTTTTTTTAAATATTATGACTAAACCGAAAGCAATACAATATGGAGTGCTGATTGTTGCTATAGGATAAGCCCTGGATTGCTAATCAGCCCCTCTTTGGAAACCCTAGACAGGGTCACTGTGAGTCAGAACTGACTTGATAACACTTAACAACAGCAACAACATGGTCTATATTAGGTTAATGTCATAATACAACTCAAATCACCTATCAGCAAGTTTTAAATCTCCATCTCTACCTTTCTTTGAGCTGTTACACTTAGCTTTCATAGAAGGATACTAGTGGAGCAAGACTGTGTATGACGCTGGTATCTGTGACTTCTCTTCTGCTAGTAATAACAGAAAGTGATGTCTTTGAGCTTCAGTTTTGTCTTCTACAACGTGCTCCATAAAGCCCAACACATAGGTTTGCTATGTGAATGAAATAAGCCAAATGCAGTAGGCACCTGGCATAGGGCAGTCACCCAGAACACTTGTTAATTTTGTTTTGTTTTAATAAAGGAAATGAGACAAGCTAGGACAGGAAAAGTGGCATTGTGCCATTATGGGTGAGGTCAGGACAACTTTTTTAAAGATTAAATTAAAATGTACTCTTAATAATTATTAAAAAAAATATTTTACAAAGCTGCTATGTTTGAAAGTTCACATGAGTTCTCATTAACTGTTTCAGAGACTTTGGTTTCAAAAGTCTTCAGAACCTCACCCCCAAAAAAGGAATGGAAATACCAGGCAGTAGTATTTGAGGTTCTAAAAGAAGAGAAATGGTGTTGTTAAATCAATTCCAACTCATTGCAACCCTGTATAGGGTTTCCAAGAAGTGGCTGATGAGTTTGAACTGCCAACCTTGTAGATCAGAGCAACCAATGGAAAATGTTTGGGGAAATTTGAGGAGTAAGGAAAGTTTCAAGATTGTTAAGATACATCTTTTACTTGTTAAAATGTTCAGGGCATAAGTATTTATTTGGTAATTGCCTTAAGAGTTCAAGGAAACAAAACAAAACAAAATCCATATGCTATAAATGACAGAAGAGGTGTGTCTACATTCTTTACTAGGAAAATGGGAGAAAACACAGGTTGGAATTTTAAGAGCAAAATAGAAGGAGATTGCTGCAGAAATGTTATGCTACAATTTAGGAAGAGAGCAAGGATATATTTTTGGTTCTATTTTTCAGTAAGCTTGACTAAGCCAAATATATAAATTAATAAATAAATGAAGAGTACCCTGGGTAACATCTGGTGTGGCACTGTGAGTTAATGCACTAGACTGCAAAGTCAGTTTGAACTGCAGACTCCTCAGAAACGCTAGACAGGATCACTATGGGTCAGAACCAACTTGATGGCACATAACTACAACAACAACATGGTTGGCTTCTAAATCATTCCCTTCATTCAGGAGAATACTTACACATCTATTAGTAGAGGATATTTCTTGGATTTATCAAAATGGGGAGGTAAGATCATCTGATACCAAGATTCTAAATAAACAGAAAGATTAATTAGTATCGTTAAGAACAGTTATTAGGACAAGATTTCCTTCTTTATCTCTGTCAGTGATAAGTCATATCTAAAGTTTAACAAGGTACTAAATAAGAATTCAAAAGGAAATGAATTGTTTGGATCTAACATTCTTTTAAGAAATAAAAACATTCTTTGCCACATTAAAATACTAGGTAGTATTAAAACAATAAAGTCCTTTCTAATGTATTTATTCAACACATTGATGCCTTAAAAAATAAAAGGGCATCTTCAAATTTCTAATGTTTAATTTTTATGATTCTGTTCTTTGGCATCTGATCTACTTATCTAGTTTGTTTACAGCTTATGTTCTAAGTTTTCCTCCAAAATGTTTTCCTCTTCTTGAATTTCCTTGAAGCTGTTTAGGATTTTCAGTTGGCCCCAAGTCTATTTTAAAATTCTGATTTAATAACATTCTTGTTATTGTACTGGCATCCCAGACCGCAAAGCTAAACTCCCATTTTTAGCTCTGTGTCTCTGAATGAAATCAGGTTTATGTGGAGTCAACTCTTGCAAATATTCTATATGTCCTTTCTGCAGATCCATTTAATTCTCTGTGCCTGGTTTTGACATTAGTGAAATAATATTTGTTCCTAATAATGAATCTATTTTTTTCCTCACAAACTCAGATATCAATTTAAACAAATTATTCCTGCACTCCTTTTTCTAAAATGAAAGTTATTGTATATTTTACTACGATTACTTCCAAATTCAATAGATGTCACCTGTAGGGAATGATGTATATGCAGCCTTCTCTCTGCAGCTGTTTCTTCCATGCATCTAGTTTCCTTTTTGTTTGTTTTTTATAATTATTTTAGTTGAGGAGAAAAGAAACATTTTGGAATAGAATCATTATATAGATAGAATTCTCTTCAATGTATATTTTGCAGATAATTTTTATACTTCTCTGATTAAATGTGCTTGGAACCTAATTCTGAGTCTAATAAAGCACCCAAACAAGTCTTCATTATAATTTCAATAGAATGCCAAACTATCAGTTGACCATGAATGTTTTTCATGTGTATTAGTATGGGAAACTCAAAATTTGATTTCTTTTTCTGAGGCTGTTCTAGTTTATTAGAAGGATTTTTTAGTTCTATTTTATTGTAGATGCTGAGTCTTTTCTTTAGGGCTATTTTCCAATTCTCACAGTCCTTCCTCCCAGTTCCCTCCCTCCCCACTTCATGGTCTTTTTCTTTTGTTTAAATGAATATCACCACCTGCCACCTGGACAACCCAACCCACAGCTCCAACCTATATTCCTGATCAAAGTGGTTCAAGGGGCCACACTGTTTCCAATGGAAATAGAAATCCTAACTTTCAATGCCCTCAGCAGATTGTTGTTGTTGCTAAGTGCCTTTGAGTTGGTTCTGACTCATAGTGACCCTGTATGGGTTTCTACGGAGCGGCTGGTAGGTTTGAACCACTGACCTTGTAGTTAGCAGTCCAGTGATTATCCTATAATGCCATACCAGCATGTGATTCTCTAACAACTCTAAGTTCTTATCACTCTAGAATGGGACAGGAACAAGCAGCATTGGCACCAACTAGGAGTACAGTGACTTCATACAATAAGCACTGGACTTCTAACCACAAGGTCCCTGGTTCTATATTGCCAGTCGCTCCATGGTAGAAAAATGAAGCTTTTTTCTCTCTGGGAGCTTTGAAGACTTGGAAACCCTATACACAGGGTCCCTATGAGTAGAAAGGCATTTAACAACAACAACAGAGCTTATTTCAGATGCAGACTCCTTGGCCAGCTCTGATCTGCTGAATCAGAATGTGCAAGTTAACAAAGTCCCAGATGATTTATGAGCAAATTCAAAATTCCGTTCTAAATTGTTCTTGAAAATACCCTGAATAGTCTTAAGTGTTTTTCCTGCCACTTAATATTTGGTCAGCTGAATATTTTTATTTATTTTCTAAAATTTAAGGGAAATGAATGTATGCATTTGTGTGTGTGTGTGTGTGTTTTTAATATATTCATTCCTGATATATTCTCCACCCATAAGTTGTTACTCCTAATGGGGAAGAAAAACAAAAACAAATAAGGTTTCTTACTCAAAGAAATTCATTGTTTTTAGATGTCATTCACTGAATATAATCCATTACTAGGCTGTATGACCAGGAACAAGCTAATTGTTGTTGTTGTTAAGTGTCATTGAGTAGGTTCCAACCCATAGTGACCCTGGTTTCCGAGGAGCGGCTGCTGAGCTTGAACTGCTGACTTTGCGGTTCAAATGAGTTTGCAATTCAGCACATTAACCTACAGCACCACCCCAGGAGTGGTTACGAGTCAGGCTGATAACTTTAAGGTCAGCAGTTCAAAACTACCAGCTGTTCCACAAGAGAAAGATGAGGTTTTCTGCTTCGTAAAGATTTACAGCCACGGAAACCCCATACAGGGTCACTATGCTGGAATGCCACCAAGCTAATTATAGGGAGGGTGTTTTAGAAAAATTCAAAATTTCTTTTCTGAGACTAAAGTTACACTTTATAGCTGACTATAATTTTTTTTATACAACAATCTTACATATTTTCAATGTCTTTGAGTTAAAGGTGAAACATTACCATATCATCAAGTTAAAAGCAATTAATAGTTAACAATAGAATAGAGTTATTAATATGATGCAACTGCTCTAGCAATAGTGCATTTTCTCCAAAAACCTTTTCTCTTGACAAGACAAATTTTACATAGAATGTTATTTCTATTTTAAAACAAAAGAAAGTAAAGTTAGTAGTTCTTGTGGCAGAATTTTTATTTCTGGAAACCTTTAAAATGAGATTTCTAGATGATACAAAAATGGCAATTTTCATATTAAATGGTCATATTTAGTTATATTTTGCTGATGTTTCTAAGAAATACTATTGCAGGGAAAATGTTTAAGTCTTATTTAACTCACTCATTTGATTCATATTAAGGTAGTCCAGTTTCTTTGAGGGCATCTGAACATCCTGCAGCATTTTATCCAAAGCAGAGTTGTCTTCCAGGACTCTCAATTCTATTTAAATACAAGGGACAGCAGAAATTCTTTACAATGTGAAGAATTTAGACTATGTAATGTAATAATGAACAAAAATATGTGTCATTGAACAGACTACACATACTCCAGGTCCTGAGCCCTGTGTTCAGCTCCTTGCTAAGAGACTCAAAAACCATAGGAAACTACACTGTGGTCCTATTTACACATGCGCCTAAAGCCAAATGAAGGTGAAATACGAAAAAATACCTTTATCAGTCATGCTGCTATGTAAAGTATAGAGGGGTAGACCAGGGCCTGTTAAAATAATCAGGAAAAAGATGTTTTAGGTGAGTATTAGGGAAGAAAAAAAGACAGCATACATTACTTTTCAAAAAATATTATTGGATACCATTTAACTTTTACAGACTGTGTAATAAACATCATAGTGATTGTTGTTGTTGTTGTTGTTGTTGTTAAGTGCCTTCCAGTCCATCAGTTCCGACTCATAAAGACCCTGTGTTGGGTTTCCAAGAAGCAGCTGATGGGTTAAACAGCTCAATAAATGCTGGCTGATGGCGATTTTTGTTGTCCCCCTTTCCTTAAAATAATTGCAATTAGACTTGAAGAAGAATTACTGTAATGCCACAGAAAAGGAGACTTGGGCCCTGCTGGGAGCCTGGGGCACACATTCACCTCTGTGCCAGATTGCCTCATCTGTAAACTGAGCTTTCAATGTCTAGTCACCCATCCTTCCTAGTTCTACCAGTAAGACATCAGGTCTCTCAGACCTCTCCCCCTTAGGGCAGAGCTCTGGAGCCCTTCTTACCTGGGGAGGGGGCAGGTTTCCCTCTTACAGCCTGGTGGGTCAATGCTACATCTGCAGTGCCTAACTTGGATAAACGTCTCCTTTCTGGCATGCAAAAGTATTTTTCTCACAAGTACATATCTTCATTATCGATCCCAACTGTGATAGTTGCAGTGATGAAGGTAATGTATGGAAAGCAATTTTGTGAGCTATTTTATTCTGATGTATTTGGATGCTAATTAATTTTCACCCTGATCGGAACCACAGGAAATGTGTCACACAGACCTGGGTTTGAATTCTGGGTTACTTGTGAGTGACTTCGGACAAAGGTTATCTAAGCTTCAGTTTCCTCATATGTACAATGAGGGTAATAATATCTACTTTTTAGAGTTTTAAAAAGATTAAACAAGAGAAGGAATATAAAGCTGTTAGCACACACACACACCCATATACAAGCTGTTAGCACAGTACCTAATATGAAGTACATGCTCCTAAGTGGTAACTAAAAATAGCCATAGTAAAGAATCATAAAAAATTGTAATTGTACAGAAAATATGATGTTGCTGTTGTTTAAGTGCCATCAAGTCATTTCTGACTCATATAGAGTTTCTGAGTACCAGCTGGTGAGTTTGAACCACTGACCTTGTGGGTGAGTGCTTATCACCACAGTATGATGGTGATGGTGTACCCTGGAGTTGGGTCCAACTCACAGTGACCCTGTATAGGGTTTCCAAGACTGTAAATCTTTATAGGAGCAGAAAGCCTCATCTTTCAAACTGCTGACCTTGAGGTTAGCAGCACAACTGGTAACCACCACACTACCAGAGATTAACTGGATTGGAGGTCCTTTTTGGTGATTGACAGTTCTTTTCAGAATATCTTGATGTTTTCTCCTGTTCTGAGAACTATTCTACCACGGTACTTAGAAGAGAGGGTCCTGCAAGCCAAGACTGGAGGCTGATTCCTGGTCTGTCTCCTACTAGCTAGTGTGGTCTTGCATAAGTCACTTTATCTTTCTCTGTGCAGGTTTCTTCAGTTATAAGAGAAATGTTAACAATATTAATTAATATTAAAATATTAACAATAGCGACAGAACATACAGCAGTGATTGTGATGTGTGGCACGTACCACCCACATATATTTACTACTTTAAACAGACAAATGCATAAAATAACAGCAATAACACCCAGAATATGTGTGCATATCAGGATAAAGTACCTCTGTTATACATAATCTCTGGAATATGTGAGTTTTCATTCTAAAGCAACAATGCAAGTCCTTTAGTTGGAACAGGAAGAAGAGGTGGTTACACTCTTAGACATGTGTTAAGAGAAGGGCACTTATGCAATTTCAAGAGCTCCTCAAATTCAAAAGAGGAGGATCAGGCATGGGGAAAAAATGTTTCCCACACTGGAGACAGGAAGAGAAATCTCATGAATGGGGAGACAAGGAGAGAAGGCTGCCCAAAGAGGAGGACAAGTTAGTTGGTAAGTGCAAGGGAAACTAAAGTATTCAAGGTGAGGGGAAAGGAGGGAGCGACTTTAGGTAGACATTTTAAGTCACTGTTGCAACTGCACCCTTTCAGTCAGTTCACACTTACCTGAGCATTGCAGTTGATAATACTTTGCCTCTTTACTAAATGATACATAATAGTATTGACACCTATCTGGATACAGCTCACAAGTAAGACATGTCACTTTTGTGACATCATTAAGTTGGATTCTGTAAAACCAATGATAGAAATTAAGTAGTTGAGGAAATAATTAATGACAGGAAGGAATTGAATAATTATTACTGCAGCTTCAAAGATTTTGGAATGCCGAAGCAATCCTCAAAAGCTTTTTTCTTTAGTGTGAAAAAACCAACTGCCATTGAGTTGATTCAGACTTATAGCAACCCTATAGGAGTCCTGGGGCGGCACTGCAGGATAATGTGCTGGGCCACAAAGTCCGTTTGAGTTGCAAGGTTGGTGGTTCAAACTCACCAGCTGCTCCTAGGAGGGTCACTATGAGTTGGAACCGACTCCAGGGCACTTAAAAATAACAACATAGGATAGAATGAACTCATGGTGTGATGCTATAGGATACACACAGAATTGTGAACCACAGGTCGGTGGTTCAAATCCACCAGCTGCTCCTGGCAAATACTATACAGGGTTGCTATGAGTTGGAATCAATTTGACAGCACTTAATAACAGCATCAACAAATAGGATAGAAGAATGGCTCTAAAGGGCTTTCAAGGTCATAAATCTTGACAGCAGCAGAATGTCTCATTTTTCTTCACAGAGAAGCTGGTGGGTTTGAACCACCAACCTTTTGGCTAGCAGCCCATGCTTAACCCACAGCATGACTAGGGCTTCTTCATTGTGAAAGAAATCAATAATTAATTTGTAATGACCTTAAATGTTTCATTGTCTGGCAATATCACAATGCATCTAATATGTCATTCTCATTTTTATTAATGTGCAGATTGATTTATAAAGTAAAAAAAAAAAAAAAAAGAAATCCTAGAGCAATTCCAGTTTAATATTAATTAAGACAAGAATAGAAGAGCCCAGAAATTGACCATCAGCTAAAAAGACTCAAGTCAACAACTTAATACACAGAGCTCTTACTTATACAAATTTCTTCCTCCTGGCATTCCTTTATGCTCATTACTAATGTAGTATCTGAGAAGAAAGCAAATAAAATATACATTATGTTTTTTAAAAAGTCAAACACATTCCATTTAACTAAGACATCAAGCATTAGTGCACAAAAAAGATGCATGTCCTTCATTTACCCTTGGATTTCCCCCTCAACCCACCACCCCCACATCCTAGGACAGAAACTATTTCTTTTCCATCTTCTCTAAACGGGATTATTTTTTTTGACAGACTAAAATATATGAATGCAGGAATTTCTCCCCTAATTTAAGTAACAAATAAAATCTCAAAACAGCAACAAAAAGAGTCTTTTGTACAAAAATAATCATTGGACAACTAATCCGAAGTTAAGACAACTTTTTATATGTTATTTTCCATTTTCCTGTTTCATAATATAAATGTCTAAAGGGCAGAAATCTACTCTACCTGGCAGTGGCTGTGCCACATCTGAAGAGACCTTTTAAGAACTATTTCAGACAGTGGCAAAATTCTTCCATAGTGAAACTGATCAAAATTATAATAATGTCTCAAATTCTAATAAACTATACTCTTCCACAACCCCAAACCCCCCCATATACTAATCAGCAAAAAATTTCCATTTTCCAAAGGGTAAGACTGAGACATGGACAGACAAAACAGCCTTCCTAAGACTTCTAAGAATTCAGTGCCAATTGAACTCTAACAAAATGCCTCTGAATGCTAGTTCAGTGTTCCACATTCAAGGAAGAGGCTACAGCTTATATAAACCAGGTAAGAACAAGAGGTAGAGCTGCTTGTGGCATGGTATCAAATCTGTGAAGCATATGTGAAAATCATTAAGGCTTCAGTATGGTAGAGAAAAAAAGTACTGAATGCATTCCAAATAGACTACTGTTTATTTGTAGGAGATTTCCCCCCTACTTCTTGGGGGAAGAAAAGGGTGCTGATTACTCAAGAGGTCTATATTCTATGGTGGTGGTGGTGGTTATGTGCCATGGAGTCAGTTCCAACTTATAGTGACCCTGCATATGATCCTTCATCTTTCTCCTGCGGAACCACTGGTTTCTAACTGCTGACCCTGAGATAAACAGCCTGGCTGATAACCACCACCCAACCAGAGCTCCTTTATATTCTACAGTGTTCAAATGCTCACAGGTATTCATTGGTGAGTGCTTCTATATTGATAACTTCCCAGTTTCCTTTTGTAATAAATGTACAGTCCTGGTGAGAAAAAAAAAAAAAGGTTTATTAGACTCACTTTCTATCAGTTAAGTGGAGAAATAAATCATTTATATAGGAATTCAGATAACCTTGTATTTTCTTGTTGGGTCTCTTTACCCTATCCCATCCCACCTCATGTGCTACTGAGGAATTTGAATTAGTCTGATTATTTGTCCATGTTGATCAAATTTACCAAATAGGTTCCACTTCAAGTTAGTTTCAGAAAAAGGAGACCAACCTGAACTAAATTATGTAAAATACTCACATCATTATTTATTTGGAAACGGCAAATGTGTTTGTAGCCCGTTTTGTCACTGATAATCTTGTAGAAGCTAGCACCATCTGATGTGAAGTGAGGTTCTGAAGGCCTAAACTAGAAAATAATAATAATAAACAAAAACATGTGAAATTACATTAGTTTTATCATGGTAACAACATTGGATATAGAAAGTCCTTCCCAATGTTAAGTGCCTTCGAGTCAATTCCAACCCATAGCGACCCTGTATAAGGTTTCCAAGGAGAAACTGGCGAGCTTGAACCACTGACCTTGCAGTCTGATGTATTAGCCCACAGCACCACACCAGGACTCCAGTCCTTTCCAACAGGTATGCTCAAAAACCGAGGCATACAACTGTTTCATTTCTGTTTGACCTCCTGATGACAGAATTTTCACCTCAGATATACTGAATCAAAATCTACATTTTAACAACATGCATATATAAGAATTACCCTGAGGGGATCTTATTAAAAGGTAGTTTCTGATTCAGTGTATCTAGGGTAGATATGTAAATTCTCAGCAGGGTGCCAAACTGGAATGGACCAGTTTGAAGCCCTGTCAAAACTCCATGGTTCACTTACTTGCCAAAGGCAAGGCAAGTATTTCAAAAGAAAATTCTCTTTCTACAAAAAAAGGACCAAAAAACCTAACTCATGGTGTCTTCTTGTGAGGCGTAAGCAAGAGAACACACATAAAGTGGTTCCAGGGACACTCAAAAGAAGTGACAACTGTTATTCCTGGACATATTGTTTCTTATTTTATTGTTTTTAAGTGCCATCGAATTGGATCTGATTCGTAGAGACCCAGCATAGGGTTTGAACTGTCAAATTTGTGGTTAGTAGTCCAATTCTTATTCTACAGAGCTACATCAAGATTCTGAGTGTAAATGCTCAAGAAAACAGTATTTGCTTTTGAGTTTCAAAAAGTGAAGTCAATGTCACATATGTGCTCTACTAAAACACAATACCATCATTTTTTTTTGACAGTCAAGTTGGAGGTGGTTTGTAATTTGGGTGGTGGGGGAAGGGCAAATTTGTTTTATTTTTTCCCTGTTCTTTATATGTGCTTCTTATTGAATGTCAGACTTAAGTCTTTAAATATTTCTGGATCAGATTCCATAAGGATTGTCTATCATGTACTTCAAATGGAACCATCCATACAGCTATCATTTTTATTACATTTTTAATAATTTATATAAATTAGAAAAAAAAAGACAAACTTATATGGAAATATAGAACAAAATTTCCATGTTTTATTATTATTAGAGAATGCTCAGAGTATTCGGTTAAGCAGAGCAGTGTCTTACCAGCCTGAAAGGAATATGTTGCTTTATGAGTTTGACTTCCTTGCTACATTTAAGAACAGGTAGGAGATGGTCTTTTAAAATTGTTGGTTCACTTTGCCCTCGATGTTTCCTCTCTCATCAAACTCCCATTTTGGGAAGAAAGAAAAATGTTTCCCTCTTCTATTTAGTGATTCAAAGTGAATTCATTTATGGAGCAAGCTGAGGCGTGCAGTACACTTGGTGTTTCAGAGCTCATTACAGAGCTCCAAAACACATTCCCCTCTCTAGACCTGTGTTCACAGCCTTATCTTTTTAATACATTTCCCTGTTTCCCCTGGATGGAGTTGTGCCTAGTAGAAATGTGTGAAAAGTGGCATCTGTCTGGTTAAATACAGAGAGGAAAAAACATATTTTTTTCAGAGAGTCGTGAGGAAGTGTAGCATGTCTCTTGCCATGGAGGAAACCACTTTTCATGTTGGCAAACCTCTCCCCTCTGCCCAATCAGTGCCTAAAGAAAAAGGACGTGTAAATGCTATCAGAGCTCCAGAGCTTGGAGCCCAGCTGGAAGGGGTTGTGTTCCTAGAACAGGGGACCTCACTTCTATGACTCAAGAGATACAGAAATCTCTATTATTTCTTTATACCACTTTTCTCCTCTTAAAGGGAGCTTAATAGAAAGGGTCATAAGCTTAGGCAGAATTTATTCTTTATCTTTTGCAAAACCTGCCATGATGGTTGGAATTCCTTCACTGGAGTTGCTTATCTTACAGGATCTTGTAGTAAGACAGTTAACTTTTCTGCTTAATATATAATACAATGGGAAGGGGAAGCATGAGAAATCTCTGAGGGTCACTGTGCTTTCTTGGATAAACTTCTGCATCTGGGTGCCTAGTGAAGTGTGAACCCACTAGAATATTATTTTCTCCAAAGATAATTGCACAGCCAATGTTGTCTGTATGCTACTGAAATTTCGCTGGACTTAATCTCATCTTCTCAGGCTTTTCTGCAGACTGTGGATGGACCCTGTCTTTTCTGCCTCTAAAACATGTAACTTTACATATAAGTGCATTTGGTACTTTGGATTGCTGTAAACAATGGTTACTTTTTAATTTACTGAGAACTACAATTTGCCTAGAATTGTAATTTCATCTGTTGCTCTTTTAAATTTTCACTTGTCCCCTCACAGTTTCCAGCTAAATATCTTAGATATTGTTCATAAAAAGGCATCTCTAAAGTTACCCTTTAAATATATTGAGAGCTCTGACGTGGCTCTGTAGGATAAACACTGGACCGCAAGGTCAGTTTGAATCACAAGGTCAGTGGTTCAAACTCACTAGCCGCTCCTTGGAAACCCTACTCAGGGTCGCTGTGAGTTGGAACCAACTCAATGGCACTTAACAACAACAACAATATTTCCAGTAGGGCACTCAGTGTAACCATCTGTATATTAAAAAGCTCTGAGTTTCTAACCAGTAATAAAATCCCATAACTCTGAACACTTACTCTTCCAACCCAGCCAGTAGTACTATTTTCAATGTGTTGTCGTTCCTAGAGAGGGAAAAATACAATGACAGTGTTTCACAAAGAAGTGAGGTGATGAACTCATTACTTAGCTACAATTTATGGTAATATAAACAAAAATGCACTTACAATAAATGAATTAAACATGATCCTCATTCATCTATTTTTATTTATGTTCATATTTCTATGGAAGTAAATCAAATCACATATATCTCTTACACAAAGCTCTGTCTGAGTCCAGGGCCATACACTACCCTGAAAGCTTCACTGGCACTTGTTCAATTGAAAATAACGTGTCACTGTCTTTCCTCCATCCCCAGCAGCCCATTCGTTCTCCTTCACTCCTGTCCTAGTTGGTGGCTCCCATTCACCCCAGGACTCATTCTAGATTCTTACTCTTCTCACAGTCCCTCTCAGGCTCTGTGCTCTACTTTCTTGACTTCACTTGCCTTCCTCTACTGCTCCTACCTTAATTCACATCCCTTTGGCTCTCCCTTGGCTCACTGCCATGTTCTCCTCACAAGAGACTCTTTTCTCCTGGTAGCACTGCTAGTTTCTCCTTCTAGTCTGCTCCCTAGATAGCACACAGCTAAGCCCCAATTGGCAACTGAGCAAGCTTTTTAAAAAGCAAATCTCTTTAGAATGTTCTAATGTGGATGCCTAAAGACAAAGCTTTGAAAAGCTCCCCACTTTTTACAAGTCCAAACTTCTCAGAATGGCACCCAAGCCTCAGCTTGAATTTGAAAGTTCACTTTTCTCCAACCCCTCATCATGTGTACCCATCATCCCTGCAACTCCAAGCTATTTGCCAACGCTGTGTCTTTACATAGCCATCTGCTTATATGGTCTTCTTGCCCTTGTCTGCTCAGCATGATGCCACTTATCCACAGGGCTTCATAACTCTCCTGTGTCACCTCCCTGCTTCACTCCACCTACCCCGGTAGAGTTAATCATCTTCTTTGGCCCTACACTGCCTCTGTAACTTGCTTATACTCGTTGTTTATGCCACAGTACCCTGATATATAATATAGTGACTTAATTGGAAGGAAGGAAGAGCTTGGATTTTTTGTTGTTGTGGATTCTGGCTGTCGCATTACCTGAGCAAGCCACTAACCTCATTGTCTGTGTCTACTGAGCCTGGCAAGTTGTAAGTGTTCTTAGATGGTAACTATGAGAAACCTGATAGCACTGTAGAATAAGCACTGGACTGCTAACCACGAGGACTGGGAGTGTAGACTCAGTAGCTGCTTCATGGGAGAAAGATGAGACTTTCTGCTCCCATAAAGATTTATAGAAACCCTATTTAGGAGTCCTGGTGTGGCACTGTAGGATAAAGCACTGGACCGCAAGTCAGCTTGAACCACAAGTTTGGTTGTTCAAATTCACCAGTTGCTCCTTGTAAACTCTACACAGGGTCGCTAAGAGTCAGAACTGACTTGATAGCACTCAACAACAACAATAACATGGGTCAAAATAGACTCAGTGGCAGTGGGTTTGATTTTTTGGTTTTATTAGTTGTTTTTTTTTCCCAAAAAGGCAATCCCTACTGGCTCTACAAGGAGCTCTGGTAGCGTAGTGGTTATGAATTGGACTGCGAACCGCAAGGGCAGCAGTTCAAAACTACCAGCTGTTCCACAGGAGAAAGATGATGCGTTCTGCTCCAGTAAAGATTTATAGCCTCGGAAACCCTGTACAGCGTCGCTATGAGTAGGAACTGACTCCACAGCACAAAACAACAACAACAACAACTGGCTCTATACGATAAGCACTGGACTTCAAACCAAAAGGTCCACAGTTTGAGCCTGCCAGCCACTTTGTGGGAAAGATGAGGCTTTCTGTTCCCGCAAAGATGTAAAAGTCTCGGAAACACCTTACAAGGTTGCTATGAGTCAGAATCAACTTGAAGACACTTAACAATAACAACTAAAACATAAACATTTTGTAGACAGTCATGATAATGGATTTATCTTTTAAAATTTATATACATATATGTTGTTGTTAGGTGCCATTGAGTTGGTACCGACCCATAGCGACCTTAAGCACAGCAGAACGAAGCACTGCCCAATCCTGGGCCAACCTTACAATTGTTGCCACGCTTGAGTCCATCGATGCTGCCACTGGGCCAATCCATCTCGTTGGGGGTCTTCCTCTTTTTCTCTGACTCTCCACCTTAACAAACATGATATCCTTCTCCAGTGATTGGTCCCTCCTGACAATATGTCCAAAGTTTGAGACACCAAGTTTGGTCATCCTGGCCTCCAAGGAGCACTCTCGTTGCACTTTTTCCAAAACGCATCTATTGGTTCTTTTGGCAGCCAATATCACTTTCAATATTCTCCTCCAACACCATCACTCAAATGCATCAATTCTTCTATGGTCTTCCTTATTCACTGTTCAGCTTTTGCATGCATATGAGGTTATTGAAAATACCATGGCTTGGGTCAGGCGCACCTTAGTCCTCAAGCTGACATCTTTGTTCTTTAACACTTTAAAAGGGTCTTGTACAGCAGATTTACCTAATGTCAATTTGATTTCTTGACTGCTGCGCTTCCATGAGTGTTAATAGTCGATCCAAGGAGAATGAAGTCCTTGACAACGTTAATGTTTTCTCCATTGATAAGAATATTGTTTTATTTTTTAAGTTTAGCAAAGAGCTTGGACCATAATATCCATTGCTGACGAGTCACTTTCGACTCATCGTGATCCTATAGGACAGGGTAGAACTGAACTGCCCATAGGGTTTCCAAGTTTGTAATCTTCATAAAAACAGGCTCCATATCTTTCTTCCACAGTGTGGCTGATGGGTTTAAACTGCCAACCTCTTGATCAGCAGTCAAACAGCCACCAGGACTCCTTGGAGCATAATAAATATTCAATGACAGGCATAAGAAATGAATGAATCCAGCTATGAGATACTAGACTTTCTGAAGTTAGAACCTGCCCAGTATAGAGAACCAGGATGAGAGCAGAGAGGGGAGGTTTATAGGCACTGGATTGTTACCAAAAAAGGTAGCTTGCAGTAATGTCTTTGAGATGTACAATACTCTACCACGTGGGTATCCAAGACATATTCACAGACTACCAGAAGGCCTTTAATCCTGCTCCTCCAGCCTGGCTGGACCACCTTATCTCCTGGACAAAAATCCTTAGAATATGTGATGGTTGGATTATCACTTAAGTTTGCTTCAATATTACCACTGTCTGAAACAGATTGGTGGTTATCAATTTAACTTCTAAAGTTGATTGCTACTTAAACATAATCACACTATGGTAATGGTTAATAGCCTCTTCACCAATCATTCATTATACCCTGCAATTTCTCTCTATGGAAACACTCTTCATTAACCTGTACTCTCTGGTCCTCTTTGACCTTTTTAATTTTTACATCAGATTCTATCTTCTGGGTTTCTAATCACCCATTTCCCAGTGATAGTATTCATAACTAGAACAATATGAGTAGTGGGTATAGGTGAAATAACAGTGTCACCAGATAGCTAATCAGTCATGACTTACCTACTTCCTCGGGATCAGACACAGAGTCAAAAGGGTCTCAAACCTCATTTCCTGATTCCCAACATTCATTCTCTCCCTGATGTAGAAGTAGAACATTCCAAACAGTCTTACCACTGGACATGACCATCTTTCATTGGATTTATTATAATCACAGATATCCATGATAGAATAGTTCTGAATCCTTCTGAGCCACTGCAAAGAAATTCTTTCTCGGTTGACCCAAGTCACATCACACAAGTAATGATCCCTGGAGGAAAGAAAAAAAGAGGAAAAGAGGGAGGGAGAAGAGGAAGAAAGGAGGAATTAAGGAATGAAGAACAGAAAAAAGGAAGGAAAGAAGGTGGGAAGGAAAAAGAAGAAAGGAAGGAGAGAGGGAGGGAGGGTGAAAGGAAAAGAAGAAAATCATTATTATGTTTTTGGAATGATTAAAAAAGTAGTTTACTAAACATAGAATCGTTTAGGGAAAATGTCCTCATATAATTATGTAGGATTTGAGGAGAGAACTATGCAATAAATTATGACAAGTGTGGGTTCCAAAATATTTTTTTTTCCTGAAAAACCATAGAAACTTGTATTAAACAAAAATGTCAAAATGTTAAGATGTTGTTTCTTGACATATCTTCCATCTCTTGCTGTTGTTTGGTGTTAAGTGCTGGTGAGTCAGTTCTGACCCTAAGCAACCCCCCATGTTTCCGAGGAACAGTTGGTGAATTTGAACCACTGACCTTGCGGTTCCAACGAACCTTGTGGTCAAGTGCTTATCCTACAATACTTTTCTGAAGGTAATGTTTCCATCTCCTAAAAATTGCCATTCTATGCTCTTTGATTTATACCATGTAAAATAGCACTTTTATCAACCTTGATAAAATGTGTTTCTTTTAAATGATATTTAAGTTAGGGAAACAAAAAATCTGAAGAGGAAGGATCAGGGCTTTATAGGGTAAAGATCAGGGTTGTTGTTGTTGTTAGGTGCCAGTGAGTTGGTACTGACTCACAGCAGCCCTATGCACAACAGAATGAAACAGTGCCTGGGTCCTGTACCAACCTTACAATCTCTGCTATGTTTGAAGTGATTGTTGCTACTACTGTGCCATCTCATTGGGATCTTCTTTTCTTTTCTCCGGCATGCCACTATACCAAATATGGGACTGATTTACCAAATAAGGGACTGATTCCTTCTGATAATATGTACCAATATGAGAGACAGAGTGTGGCCATTCTGGCTTTCAAGGAGCGTTCTGGCTGCACCTAATCTAGCACAGATTGGTTTATTCTTCTGGCAGTCCATGGTACTTCTAATATTCTACTCCAGCACCATAAATGAGCTCTGGTAGTGTACTGGTTACTAGGTACTAACCTCAAGGTTAGCAGGGCGAAACTACCAGCTGATCTGCAGGAGAAAGATGAGCCTTTCTGCTCCCATTAAGATTTATAGCCTCAGAAACTGCAGGTTTACTATGGGTCAGAACTGACAGATCAGCACGTAACCACCACCACAACCAACACCATAATTCAATTGCATGAGTTCTTTGATGGTCTTCCTTATTTAATGTGCAACTTTTACATGCATGTGAGGTTATTAAAAATATCACACTTGGATTGCTGTTGTTAAGTACCGTGGAGTCGGTTCTGACTCATAGTGACCCTGTACAGGGTTTCTGAGGCTGTAAATCTTTACAGGAGCAGAACGCCTCATCGTTCTCCTGCAGAACAGCTGGTAGTTTCGATCTGCCGACCTTGAGGTTAGCAGCCCGATTCGTAACCACTACGCTACCAGAGCTCCTGGATTAGGGGAACCTTAGTCCTCCAGCTGACATCTTGGCTCTTCAACACTTTAAAGAGGTCTTGTGTAGCAGATTTGCCTAATGCAATACATCATTTGAGGAAATCATTATTTTTAAACATTGGTACAGATGGAAATGTACCACTGTGACACTGTAATCAATCTTATTGGGAAGCACAATTTTAAATGACTGATAAATCACTTAGTACCTTAAAGTTTAAGATACAGTTCAACTTTGGAAATTAAAATACATCTTACAGCAAAGACAGCAGCTAATATCATATCTGTGACTCCAATCATGTATTCAGAAATTATCAAGCCCTTACTTGGCTTTTGCTGTGCTAGGCGTTTTCTCATCTTCTTTCTACTGTCTTAAAAAAACAACAGTGAGGCCAAAGGCACTGGCTGAGATTTGAGGTTTTTCTGGTAATCTGACGTGCTTCTCTAGGAAATTTTCCCTTTTAGGGTGAAACTATGGCTGACCTCTTTCTCAACTTCATTTGCAAATGGGGAAAAAAATTGACTCACACCTCCACAGACTTTGAAAAACAAACAATTAAATTCTAAAAAATTTGTAGCAAAGAATCACTGAAGAAATGAAGGGAACTCTGGTATTTTAATATAAATTTATACAAGTAGAGGTATCTCCAGCATTGCATTCCCCCTAGGACATACCTTCAAAAAACATTTTGGAACCACTTTCTGACTTATAGCAACATGCATGGAATTCATCATTTCCTTTCCTGCTTGCATCTTAATATGATTTACTATTTTTTTTTTTTTCTTTCTGTTTTTCTCTTATGGATTTTTGAATGATAATTCTTAAATCACGCCTCTCCAGTGTTTACTTAAAATCTTTCTCCCTTTTGTCAGAGGCTTCCAAGGGAATCTTATGCCTTATATTTCTTTATACCCTCCTCCCCAATCTGGTATTATGGCCTTCCCTTCCCTTTCCTGGGCACACACACTTAATTCCCAAAGACTTCTATCAGTACACTGATTCCTGCACGCCTCGCACTCCACCTCTCCTCTTGTCATTTTGTGAGCCTTGCTTGGCTGCAAACTCTCTGAGGACAGGGTCCACATCTGTTTTGTTCTCAGGGGTATATCCAGCGCGAAGCAGATAGCTTGGCACAAATAAAGATTCAGCTCATGCTTGTGGAATGCAGTACTGAAGGAAAGAAAAAAAAAATCCTTTCCTGACTTTCGTGTCCTAAATAGCTCTGTCCTTCCTCAGAATTTACAGATCACGTCCTGTCTCTAATCCCTTCACAGACACTAAATCATACAATAAATATTTGGGCACTTGGGATGGCTCAGGCCCAGAGGAAATCACCTTAACTTCCTTCACAACTTCACTATCTCCTTGGACAGCTGAGGGCACTGAATGGGTGTGAGGATTGGGGATCTTTGTGCCTCCATGCTGCCCCATCCACATGATGCCTCACTGGAGGAAAACCACACCTCCTCTACGTGGCAGCAAAGCACAGAATTTCCACAACTATGGACTCATCTTTATTTCAGTCCTTTTTCCTGTTTATTAAAAACCTGTGCACTGGCTCCTTCAAAAGTTAAATGTAGAAATACCATGGTGTTGTTAAGTGCTACCGAGTCGATTCCAACTCATAGCAATGACCCAGGAATAGCACTCCTAGGCCTATACCCAGAAGAAGTGAAGGAAGGAATTCCAACAGATAATTGGACGTCGATGTTCACTGCAGGTTTATTCACAATAGCCAAACAGTGGAAACAATCCAAGTGTCCAACAGCTGAATAAACAAATATGACCTATCCATACAATGTGATATTACTCAGCCGACGCTGTAGAATGAGCACTGGACTACTAACCACAAGGTCGGCAGTTCAAACCCACCAGCCACTCCTTGGAAGCCCTCATAAAGGTCACTATGAGTCTGAACTGACAAAAGGCATTGATCAAGAATAACAACAACCTTTATAACATGGAATGCCTCTTCTTGTGCATGACCTGGAGCAAGGGTGAACCTATCTCCTCTAACTCTTCTGAATTGAACCCAATAGTGAGGAGTTAGATGAGAAAATGTAAAGTCAAATAAATCTTACCCAGGATAGACAAAAAATACTTGCAAGGGGAATAGATAAATGCAATGCATGACAGACAAGGAAGTTTTTTGAAATTAATTTTCTAGACCAGGGTTTGGCAAACATTTCCAACAAAGGGCCAGAGAGTAAATATTTTAGAAGAGACACAGGTTTTTGGTCATAATTACTCAGCTCTGCTGTTGTAGCAAAAATGCAGCCATAGACACTACATCAACAAACAAGCATGCCTATGTTTCCATAAAACACTGAAATCTGAATTTCATGTTATTTTCACAGGTCATGAAATATTACCAATTTTGTTTTCACCATTTAAAACTGAAGCACAGATAGTTTTAAGTAACTTTTCCAAGGTCTCACAACAGGTTTTTACTGGAAGACCATGTAAGAATAAGTGACATAGTGAATTTGGTATCTGGGCTCCGGGGCACTTACCCCATTCTGCACCAGTGTTGTTGTTTGTTTTAAGGTCAAAAACCCTTTGAGAATTTTATAAGAATTCCCTTTTCTAAGGAAAAAACAAAAACAAACTACAAGCAGGCGCACAATTTTTGAGCCTTACATGGGCATTGGTGTGGTAGTTCAAACCCACCAGCCGCTCCTTGGAAATCCTATACAGGTTCACTATGAGTCTGAACTGACTTGATGGTACTTAATAGCAATGACAACAAGTTAGGAACCTGTGCTCCAGAAATACCCCCTCCTTTGTTAAAATGTTCTGGTTGGAAGGATGGAGAGGTGAGGATGGGGAGGAAACCTTTTAACATGATCAAGGGGTCACCCAGTACTTTGTCATTAGGTCTATTCTGACTCATTGTGACTCAGTGGGACAAAATAGAACTGCTTCATAGGTCATCTAAGGATACAATGTTTACAGAAGCAGATTGTCCCATCTTCCTCCTGCAGAGCAACTGGTGGGTTTGAACTGCTGACCGCTCGGTTAGCAGCTGAGCACTTATCCACTGTGCCTTAGGTGTCCGCTTCTTACTTTATCTACTACATGTCATAAATTCTACTTCAAGTTCAGATACCAATAATATAAAAGTAACTTTTCCCCATGTGAAAACATTGAGTAATGGAATTTGGGAAGTCAGCCAAGAAACTCACCTTTATGTAGCAGCCATCTTCCAGGCCCACTTCTAGACCAAAGTTTAATGAACCTGTCCCCTCTCTGCCTTTGTCACTCCCAACAGACCAAGGTGTACCTTGCACTCTGTTCATACTCAATAAAAGCAAGTTATTGGAATGATCAGTAACTTTTTTTTGAAGCAGAGTTTCAGATTTTATTAAGCTGGCTGTCTCAGAGGAGCTAATTTCTCCAGATTCTGAGCAGATCAGTAACTTTTTAATGTTCTTATAAACATACCTTTCTGCAATTGCAGTTT